CCCTGCCCCCCACCCTCCCCCCCCCCCTTTCCCCCCGCCCTGTCCCTTGTGTTCCCCACTGTGTCACTGTCACCCACTGCCACCACGGCCCCCCACCACCGCATCCCTGCTCTGGTGCGTCCCCTGCCACTGTGTCCCTGCTCTGACGTGTCCCCTCATGGCCTTGTCCCTGCAGATGTCCCCTACCACATCTCCCACTGCCATGTCCCTGCTCTGATGTTCCCCTCACCGTGTCCCCCACCACAGTGTCCCTGCTGATGTCCCCCACCACGTCTCCCACCACCATGTCCCTGCTCTGATGTTGCCCTCAGCACGTCCCCCACCACAGTGTCCCTACTGACGTCCCCTTACCCTGTCCCTGACCACCACTTCCCTGCCCTGACGTGTCCCCCATCTCCCCATCCCTTCTCTTGACACGTCTCCATCCCCACAGGCCTTCAGCCGGGCGCACCGCATCGGCCAGGCCAACAAGGTGATGATCTACCGGTTTGTCACGCGGGCATCGGTGGAAGAACGCATCACGCAGGTGGCCAAGCGCAAGATGATGCTGACGCACTTGGTGGTGCGCCCGGGGCTGGGCTCCAAGGCGGGCTCCATGTCCAAGCAGGAGCTTGATGACATCCTCAAGTTTGGCACTGAGGAGCTCTTCAAGGATGAGAATGAGGGTCAGCGCCCAACGGGATTGGGGACGGGTGGGACAGGGTGTACCGGTCTTTGGGGGAGTTGTGGGAGGCCGTGGTGGGCTGTGGGAAGCTATGGTGGGACGTGGGACGTGATGAGATATGGGAGGGAGTGGTGGGCCATGGGAGGCTATGGTGGGATATGGTGGGCTGTGACTGGGCTTGCAAAACCATGCTGGGATGTGCAAGGTCATGATGGGGCCATGATGGGTCATGCAGAACTGTGGTGGGACATGCAAGGTCACAGTGGGTCATGGAAAGCTATGGTGGGACGTTTGAGATTGTGATGGCATGTGTGAGGCCTTGGCAGGACGTGCAAGGCCATGAAATGTTATGCAAACCTATGATGGGATGCGCAGCATCATGATGAGGTCATGATGGGACATGTGAGGCCATGGTGGCATGCGTGAGGCCATGGTGGGACATGCAAGGCTATGATGGGACATGTGAGGTCATGATGGGGCTGTGACAGGTCATGGAAAGCCATGATGGGACATGCAGGAACATGATGGTGCCCATGAGGCTGTGGTGGGGCATGTGGGGCCATGATGGAACATGTGAGGCCTTGATGGGACACGTGAGGCTATGACAGCGGGTGTGAGGCTGTGATGGGGTGTGAGGGGCTGTGAGGGAACACGTGAGGTGGTGATCAGACGTGTGAGGCTGTGCCGTGCTCTACTAGGCCATGACAATCCACGTCAGTGTGTGTCAGGCCATGTTGGGCCACGTCAGGCTATGTTGGACCGTGTCAGCCTGCGTTGGGTGGTGCCAGGCCATGGTGGGGCATGTCAGACTGTGTTGGAGCATGTTGGACCATGTTGACCTGTGTCAGGCCACGTTGGGTCATGTTGGACCATATTGAACCACCATATTGGACTGTATTGGTCCATGCTGGGCTGTGTTGGGCCGTGATGGGCTATGTTGAGCTGTCTTGGGCTGTGCTGGACCATGTTGGGCCATGCTGGGCTGTGCTAGGTCATTTCAGGCCATGTTGGACCACGTTGAGCCATGTTGGGCTGTGTGAGGCTATATTGGACCATACTGGGCGGCACTGGACTGTGCATGGCCATACTGTGCCATGTTGGGCCATGCTGGACATTGTTGGGCTGTGTGAGGCCCCGTTGGGCCATGTTGGGCTGTATTGGGCTGTGCTGGGCCATACTAGGTCATGTCAGGCTGCGTTGGGCCCTGTGAGGACATGTTGGACCATACTGGGCCACGTTGGGCTGTATTGGGCCGTGCTGGGCCGTACTAGCTCATGCTGGGCCATGTTGGACCATACTGAACTGCGTGAGGCCATGTGTGAGGCCATGTTGGGCTGTGTGAGGCCATGTTAGGCCATATTTGACCTTGTTGGGCTGTATTGGGCCATGCTGGGCCATGCGAGGTCATGTCAGGCTGTGTTGGGCCGTGTTGGATTATGTTGAGCCATGTGAGACTATGCTGGACCATGTTGAGCCGTGTGAGGCCATGTTGGACCATGCTGGGCTGTGTGAGGCCATGTTGTACCATGTTGGACCACATTGGGCTGTACTGCGCCATGCTGGGCCGTGCTAGGTCATGTCAGGCCATGCTGGGCCATGTTGGAGCATGCCAAGGCCAAGTTGAGCCATGCCAGGCCCTGCTGGACCAAGTCAGGCCGTGTCAGCAGCGTGTCGCCGGCGCAGGGGAGAACAAGGAGGAGGACAGCAGCGTCATCCACTACGACAACGAAGCCATCGCCCGGCTGCTTGACCGCAACCAGGATGCCACCGATGATGCCGACGTGCAGAACATGAACGAGTATCTCAGCTCCTTCAAGGTGGCCCAGTACGTCGTGCGTGAGGAGGACAAGGTGCGCACGGGGAACGGGGAGAGGGGGACACGAGATAGGATGTGAAGGAGGTCGGGACGATTGAGATGATAGAGGTGATGGGGACGGTGGTGGAGGTGATGGAGGTGGGATGATGGGGACGGTGGGGATGATGGAGGTGATGGGGATGACGGAGGTGGAGGTGATGGAGGTGGGATGATGGGGACAATAGGGATGTAGATGATGGGGGTGATGGAGATGTAGATGATGGGGACAACAGAGATGTAAATGAGTATGATGGAGGTGGAGGTGATGGGGACGATGAAGATGAGTATGATAGAGATGGAGGTGATGGGAATAGTGGAGATGGTGGAGGGGATGGGGATGATAGAGGTGGAGGTGGTGGACATAGGATGATGATGGGGACAATGGAGATGCAGATGATGGGCATGATGGAGGTGATTATGATGGAGGTGGAGAGGGGGGTGATGGGGATGATAGAAGGGGAGGTGATGGAGATGGGGCCGGACGGAGACAAGGGGGGCAGTGGAGATGATGGTGGTGGGGACGATGGGGATGGGAGGTGATGGGGATGATAGAAGTGGAGGTGATGGAGATGGGGCCTGACGGAGACAAGGGGGACAGTGGAGATGATGGTGGTGGGGACGATGGGGATGGGAGGTGATGGGGATGGGGGACGATGCAGGTGGAGCTGATGGAGTTGGGGACAGTGGAGATGATGGTGGTGGGGACGCTGGAGCGTCCTGGTGGTGGCAACCTCAGGCCGACCAGGTTCCTGCGGGTGCTCCGGGTGGCCCTGACGGTGCGTGTGCCGGCAGATCGAGGAGATCGAGCGGGAGATCATCAAGCAGGAGGAGAACGTCGACCCCGACTACTGGGAGAAGCTGCTGCGACACCACTACGAGCAGCAGCAGGAGGACCTGGCACGCAACCTGGGCAAGGGCAAGCGGGTGCGCAAGCAGGTCAACTACAACGATGCTGCCCAGGAGGACCAAGGTGGGCACTGGGAAGTTACTGGGAGGCACTGGGAATGCACTAGGAGGCACTGGGAGGACCTGGCGTGCAACCTGGGCAAGGGCAAGTAGGCACACAAGCAGGTCAGCTACAATGATGCCACCTAAGATGACTAAGGTGGGCACTGGGAGGCACTGGGAAGGTACTGGGAGACACTGGGAAGGTACTGGGAAGACATGATGGGCAACAGGGGCAAGGGCAAGCGAGTGCACAAGCAGGTCAACTGCAATGATGCTGTCCAGGGGGACCAAGGTGGGCACTGGTAGGCACTGGGAAGGCACTGGGGGGACCTGGAACACACTGGGAGTTACTGGGAGGGGTTCTGATGCACTGGGTACCCTTGCCTAGGAGAACTGGGGTGGGTACAGGGCAGCTGAGGACACTGGGAGGCACTGGTAAGGTACTGGGATGCATTGGGAGGACGCTGGAGCAGACTGGTCAGGTACTGGGAGCGTTTGGGAGGACATTGGGACAGACTGGGAAGCACTGGGACACATTGGGAGGACTCTGGAGCAGACTGGTCAGGTACTGGGACACACTGGGAGGATGCTGGAGCAGACTGGTTAGGTACTGGGAGGGTTTGGGAGGCACTGGTAAGGTTCTGGGATGCATCAGGAGAACACTGGAGCAGACTGGTCAGGTACTGGGATAGGCTGGGAGGCACTAGCAGGGTACTGGGAGGCACTGGGGGGAGTCCCGATGCACTGGCTACCTGCACCCAGGACCAAGGTGGGTGCAGTGCAACTGGGAGTGCTGGAAACTACTGGAATGTTCCTCGGGAGTTACTGGGAGGGCACTGGGAGGGCACTGAGACAGAGTGGGAGGATACTGGGACACACTGGGGAGAATTCTAATAGATTTGGCACCTGCACCCAGGAAGGACAAAGGTGGGTACAGGGGAACTGGGAGGCACTGGGTGCGTTGTTGGGAGAATGGGAGGCACTGGGAGTGAGCTCTGTCAGTACTGGGGGGATACTGGGACTGACTGGGAGGCACTGAGGGGAGTCCTGGTGCCCTGGGCACTCACGCTCAGGAGGACTAAGGTGGAGTACAGGGCAACTGGGAGCACTGGGAGGTTACTGGGGCGTTCCTCAGGGGTATGGGAGGTTACTGGGAGGGCACTGGGACAGACTGGGAGGCACTGGGAGGTCACTGGGCTAACCTGTCCCACATTGGGGGGGCAGGATTTGGGGGTACAGGGGGGTATTTG